TAAGTGGAGTGACCACAACTATCTAAGTTCTTTTTTACAAGACGAGGTAGACTCAAGGTTGAGAAATAAAATTCTTTCCACATCCGAACAAACCGAGAGGACAAGATAAGATCCCGAGCTTGTTAATTAATGCATCACGAAGTCCCGCATATGCACGTACAAAGAGAAGTAGATCGATGGTGACTCTATTCGTTCCATCAAACAAAGCCAAATTGATGGCCCGTGGCGTAAAGGCTTTAAATGGTTTCTTTAACTTCGAACCAATATGTACTTATAGATGCATAAGAGATAGAAATTAATCTTTTTGTTATGAGATACTTTTATCCCTTATTTATAATGATCGACTAGGTATCCATAAGCTTTAGGAATCTTGTTTTCTTAGATTTTGAGATCTTCATCATTTGTGCTCGAAAGCCAAAGTTTGGCTCGTAGGATATAAACAAGTGATGGCTATAACGTGCCCTTTTGGAAATTGAAACTAGTTGATATAAGGATTTGAGAGTGTGATTATGGTCGTTACTAAGCCAAGGTTTGTGGTATAAGATCGAGTCGACAAGAGGATGGCCTCGTGAATCCCCATTGTATCCCATATCTTGCTTAAGTATGGGATGAGCCTCTTCTTAACCCGGCTTTTATATTTGACATCCGGTTTCGACCAAATAAGGTGAAAATCTTTGATAGATTGAGCCCAATTTCACGGAGCTAGATAAGATTCAAGAGAAAAGAAAATACCGATATCATAAGTCCTTGGAAACATTGTGTCGATCATATTTACAAGATGGACAACTTCAATATTGATAGTAGGACCTAACGCTTGATAAGAACTCTTCCCCGAGTTTTTTCTATATCCAATAGCAATACCAACACCACTCGTTATCGAAATAGATTAGAGTAAGCACGTGTTACCCGTTTGATTGAAAAATTCATTCGGCTGATAACAATCCCCTTGGAAGGTGATCTTCTCTTGGATAGATTTCATTAAAGACTTGATGTTACCTTTTGGAGTCATTTTATGGAGAAACGAAAGGAGAAATTAACGAGAGGGTAGAAAAGGTGTTTGATGGAATGACGAAAGAAAGCAATGATTTTTGTCTTGTAAGATTTTATCGGATGAGCAAGTTATAGTAAAAATGAAAATATTATAAGTTAATTTTTTTCTTTTATATGATTCGTTTTAAGGGTCGTGATGGTTGAGTGCTAAGATTTAACGAGCTTAGATAGGGTAAGAAAAAAGCCACCGATCGTTGAGTAACCGAGGCACTAAAATAATTACGAGTAGTCGTTTAAGAAGTGAAACGATGCGATGTCTTATCATGTCCATCAACATTTAATGCTCGCCCATTAGAGGGATAAATTTTTTATTTCATCTCTAAAGGGATGAAAAAAGGGCATGTGTTGGCATTTCAAAATTCAAGGTCATATGTTGATTAAATATGGTGTCTTCTTATAACAAAAACAATAAAGTATAAATGAAACGGTACATTTTGGTCTCGTAAACTAATCAATTTTTTACGGAGCCTTAAGTCTTTAATGAAACATTATGTTTGGTCTTATAACTAATCAAGTTTCGATGAAGCTTTAAAACTTTAATGGAACGATGTGTTTGGTCTTGTCACCAATCGGGTTTCGATGGAGCCTTAAGTCTTTAATGAAACAATGTGTTTGGTCTTATAACCAACCAAGTTTTGATGAAGCCTTTAGTCCCGAGTGAAACGATGCGTTTGATAATATAACTAGCTAGGTTTCAACGAAATCATAAGATTTAAATAAAATAATACATTTGGTCCCGCAATCGAGCGGTTTCAACGAAGGCAATATGCACGAAGAAACAAAGAGAAAGTTACTAAATAACTGTTCATGCTTAAATTTAAATAAAAGACAGTTGTCAATCAAGAGCTATTTAAGGAAAAAAGACTAACGTAATCATGCACGATCAACAACACAAGACATTTTATACAAGTTTATTCAATTCCTTTAGTCTACCTTGTAACAGCTTAGTTCCTACTTTCTTGCAAGTAGTGCATTAGTTTTTTATTGCTTTAAGTAATCTTATCTTTGTAATTTAGGAAGCATTGATCCGTCGAATGATATTGAACATTTTGATAGCTAATGATGTAAGTATCATATTTTTTGATTTATAATATTTACGTTCTTTTAATGAATTTTGTCTCTTTGATTGATAAAATTATGTTTACTTTATCACTCGCCTTTTAAATTTAGTACCCACGAAAAGTCTTAGTGGCTTGCTAGGAGAAATCGAACCCTATAACATTTCATCACAAAGGATTTAATCATAAATTAAAGCGTTGATATACTCCGCTTTAAGATAAAATTCGACGAGCAAGAACAATTATAGTATTGTCCGGATACAAGAATCCCTTGCCATTTCACTTCAAGCAACAACCTATTGCTACAATATTCTCTCTTTATATGATGAATATAAAGTAAATTTAACAAAAGATTTTTGCTAATTTCTCGAATTACTCGGACGCAAAAGCTAACCCGGGGCTTTTTTTTTCCATGTATAAGTGCCTACAAATTGTATCTCGTTATAGGCAAGGAGATAAATTGCCACAAAATTATTTGTTTCTTTAGTTCGACCTTCGGACATTCGCTCACATTTTTAGTTTTTGGTTATAACTTATAGGTATCCCTCTTTTTATCCATTTATATATGTTCATGCTAGCAGTGGGCACATGGGGGACATAGGGCATATAGAGGACCATATGTGGTAACAAATTGAATACGAGGGTTGTTAAGCTTGGGATGAGAGTATAGGGGTTAAAATGACTAAGTCTAAACATTTTAAGGACTTATATAAATATAATTAAGCCCCTTGTAGGATCAAGGGTGTTCATGCTTCATGGTGCTCACCCTCTCTCGTATTCTTATTGCAAACTTTATAGAAAATCTACTAGCACGTGTACCTTAGCATATGGTAGTGGGTTGCAAGACTTTACTGTGCTGCAGTAATACCAAGTTTCCATTTCTGTCGATCACATTGCACACAGATGGGATTCCAATATATATTCCATCACATATGCAATGAGCTGTGATGAGATTCTGAACTCAAAAGTTAGAAACCACCTAGAAGCGAAGGGCCTAGCTTTTTATCCGTACTCTAAATGGAAAACGAGTCACTGATCATGGAACTTTAGGCACAGCTTGCGTCCCCCACAATTGAAACCAAAGCCAAACCTATGGCAAGATGACAGGTGCTTCTTCTAAAAGGCCAGTTTTGATTAAGGTAGCTAGGAACTGATTTTTCCATTTATGAATAAAATGATTTTGCTTTTACTGCCCCCACCTCTCTCTCTCTCTCTCTCTCTCCCCCTCTCTTTCTTTTGTTTTTTTCGTGTTTTTTTGTCTTTGGGTTCATATGCCGCGTGTTGAGAAAGGGGTTCATAGTGGGCAAGGACCTAATGTTCCTGTTATGATATCTTTTGGTAATTTCCATTATTCCCAACTACTAGTCTATCTAACTTCTAGCCACAAAGTCTAAGCAAACACAAGGGGAAACTACCCTAGAACTCCAAATCCAACCGATAAGAGAAGACTTCACCCTTCCTTGTACAAGTCTAAGTCTCTAACATCAATGAGGCAGGAAAGAAGGTAAAACAAAACATGCTATCAAAAAATTAAGACGAGAAAGAGAAAAATTGAGAGGTTGTGCTTCTTGTTCACCAGACACCACTTGTGTCCAGATTTGGGTTGACTTGAAACTTGTGCAGCTAGAAAATCGAAATCCAACGGATAAGAGAAGACTACAACAAACAATTGTGCGGCAGGGTCCCTATAATATCAAAAATTTAACTCAAGACTCTCTCACAATCAAGACCCCAAGAAGGAGCATCATGGAATGGGAAACACAAGAAACTCACCCCTTTCCTTCCCACTCCCTGTACTCTCTCTCTCTCTCTCTCTCAAAGTTGAAAGCAACAACACCCTGTCCCTTTCCTCACCACTCATTTTTTTTTTTTTTTTTTGCATTTTGTTTTTCTAAAATCTCTTTAACATTATTTTATTTATCTTTTCTTTACTCTTATCACAAGGCCACAAGCCTAAAAAGGAAGGGAGAGAGACTTGGAAAGACCAAGTACTTGCCCTTTCAAACGCAGTCTCCTTTCCATTTCTTCACCTCTCTTTTTCCTAACACAAACGCTTCTAAAGTTGAACACATTATCCACTTTCCATGTTGCTTTCAACTATTCTTACAATAATTCCCTTCTCCCTAAGCCACTCTTTTTAATTTTCGTCTCCTGCTTCTATGCATTAGCAGATAGTTAAAGCTAAGCTCTTTCAATACTATTTGAAGGTACTGTTGGCAGAGATTTATTGGCCGTGAACTGTGATGTCAACAGAAGTCCTTTTTCTTTACCCTTGCCAATTTCTTTTTTTCATTACTTCCACAGTACTGCTTTAGATTCTGAATTCTGGCTTCTTTATACTTCAACCTGCAGTTTCTTTCCTTTCCCGCCCCATTTTAAAGATTTCTATAGCCTGGAGGTTACTAAGACTGGATTTTACCTCGTCTGTGCTTGATTTCTCGGTTTGTTTCAGGTACCCATCTCAAAATTTGAACTCTTTTTTTCTTTTGAACTGATCATTTTAGCTCTTTATGCCTTCTTGTTTTTTATTTTATTTTATGTAATAGTACAACTTAAATAGCAAAAGTGTTTTTTTTTTTATCTGGTTTGGGTTGTTTATTCTCTCTCTGTTGCTTGCAATGAAAATATATTTTTATGAAAGGTACAACCACTACAATAGTAACTTCTGAACAGTAAAAGTCGTAGTGACACATGTGGAATAAAGTGGTTTTGGCAGCTTTTGCCAAAAAAAAAAAAAATTGTCTGTTTAAATTGGAGAGAGTTTTGGGCATGCCCCTCTCCCACAATAATTGTCCCAATTAGATGCAGCCATGCTGGTCTGTAATCAGCTTGTTTAACGGGCTAACCCATTCGAACAAGGTATTTCTGTTCATTGATGAACTTGTAGTTAACTTTTTGTTGTTCGAAAGAAAAATAATATGGGAAATTGGTTTTTCATGAAAAGAAATATCTTCGAGGCTTTTTGTGGCTGGGATGATATGGACTCCCATGATGTGACAGGTACCCAGCCTTTGAATAGCATTGAAGGGTGCACTTTATTGTTGAAAGGTGCAATGAATAATGTGGCCCATTTTCCTGCATTCTCCTTCGAGTAATTTACTCCATATTTTGAACTACAAATCCTATTGCTTTGTCCAGTTAACTGCATTTGGTCCATTTAGATGTGGTAATTTTGTCTTGTAACTTAGTTAAAAATGTGCAAGCTATTGCTTTATCTAGAAGTAAACCACCAACTAATTCTTTGTCCATGAATATTGTGTTCAAAGACAAACTGCTTGACAGTCATTGTTTTCTATGATCTTTATTCTGGTTATCTGCTATTATTACAGACTGTGTAATGATTGACTTGATGGATCACTTGGAGAAGAATTTGATTGTAGGGTGGGAAAGAGAGAAATACATTTGCAAAACAAGGATGCTCTATGGGCTATAATTGTAAGACTCCTTGGGAAGTAGCTGAACTGGAAAAACAAAGCAGTCCTCGCTTTACTCAAATTACGGTGTCTAGCAGCTTAAGAGTACCTCAGGCTACAGGATATTGTTCAGTAGACTTAAAGCTTGGCAATTCTGGTGATTTCAAGGACAAGTTATTGGACAAGTATAAGGATCTTGGGGGCTCTTTAATGGAATCATCTTCATCTGGATCATCAAAGAGAGCTAGGACACCTAACAATGCAACCCAAGTCCCCTCATGCTTGGTTGATGGATGCACTTCAGACCTTAGCAAATGCAGGGATTACCATCGGAGACATAAAGTCTGTGAGTTCCACTCCAAGTCCTCTGAGGTTTTTATTAAAGGTCAGGAACAGCGGTTCTGCCAGCAGTGCAGCAGGTAACAACTAACATACTTGTGAATGTAGAGAGCTCTTTGAATTCTAGCTGATCCAATTTTTTACTTTTGTTAATTAGAATTAATTTTAACAGAACGAAATCAGAGTGCAGCATCCTTTTTGTCGAAGTTGCCGAATGTTCTCTGCTGTGTAATTGTTTGGATTCTGTGTGCATGTTTTCATGGCACTATTGTTTTTTAGTTGTTTCCAGCTGTTGGTTGTTGAGTCTGAAACTCTTTTGCATGAATATAAATTAGCTTTGGACCATCACACTATTATCGAGGTTAATGCGCATGCTTAGTTTCAGCAAGAGAGACTATTGGTTTTCTATCATTCTTTGCATTACATAATGTTCGTTCACGATAAATTCAGAGGATAAGCTTCCTATTAGCCAACCAGTAAAAGTTTTAGCTTGCAAACTGTTTGTTTACAATAAGATCAATCAACTAATTTGCTTTGGTACGATCATTTAAAGCAATCCTACTAATGCCACTCTGCTGTTAGGAAGAGGCCTATGAGGAGCATAAGTAGTGGATAAAACAGGAGTGGTCTAGAAAAGTGTAGATGATCTAAAGCTAATTGATAAATGCTTTTTGCTAAAGTGAAGTAAAAGCAGTCGAGGGGAAGGATCTTAATTTTTTCTATGTAGGTTGACTTTGCCAAATGCGGATAATAGTGTTTGGCAACTTAATAAGCCATTTAGTTCTTGGATTCTTGCTGTATCTTTCATATGCACTTCCTTTGCCTTGTGGGGATTGTGCCTATGGCCTTTTAGGCATGATATATCAGTCACCCATCCTAGAAAGAACTTTTAGGTTACAATTTTCTTTAGTTGGTGCAAAATGTTGCTGCTATTAAATGCCCTTTTTGATAGGTTCCATTCGTTGGGGGAGTTTGATGAGGGAAAGAGAAGCTGCAGAAAACGCCTTGATGGACATAACCGGCGTCGAAGGAAGCCTCAGCCAGATTCACTTTCAGTAAATTCTGCAAGGGTATTTTCCAACCAAGGTCCGAATTAGAACTTTGAGAAATTGTGTGTTTGGACTGGTGTCTCTTTCCACCATTCAGTCTGTCTTCCGGTATCAAATGATTTCAAAAGGTCTAAACTATTGAACATTAATTATACTATATTGCAGGTACTAGATATCTACAATTTGGTGGCTCTCAAATATTTTCAACCAGTGCTGCGAGCACTGTTTGGACCGGAGCTGCAAAAGCTGAGAGTGAGCCAATGCTTTATGCTAGTCAATCCTCGATGAATTTCAATGGTAGAAAAAATCTTCTTCCTGTTTCCTTGTCTCCCAACTATAAAGGAGGAAAGCAGTTCCCTTTCTTACAAGGCACTAGTTCCACACTTCTTGGGGATTCTGTCCGTCTCAATGCCAATTCCACATTAGGAAACAGTGGCAACAGCCAAAAAATGTTCTCTGCTGGGTTAATAAACCGAGTCATTGACTCCGACCGTGCTCTCTCTCTTCTGTCATCACCACCATCTGAGACTCGGGAAATTGATTTCAGTCACGTAGTGCAACCTGACCTGAACCCTGCTGCTCATTCCTTGATCCCAAGCTTGAGCTATAATGCCCTTGAATTGGAAAGTGAGCCAGCACGATCTGTTTTGGTATCTTCTGATGGGAGCAGCAACGCCAACCTCCATGGTCAGCATATGTTTCAGAATGGACCTGATGGGTCATCTGCAAGTGGATCTCATCAGACACTTTCCTTCTCCTGGGAGTAGTGCATGCCATTTCTAGTTCTAATCTCCCCTACTGCTCTAAATCCCATCAATAAAAGAATTTATTGCCCAAAATTCTGAGATTGTTAAGTTATCTTTTGTTTGTATTGCCACTCTGGTAATTTTGAATATGCTGTGATATTATCACGTGTACTCATGTATTTAGTAGTTTTCTTCTTAGGAATTAGAAGTATGTATCTTAAAAAAAATAAAAATAAAAAGCCAGATGAATGGTGCTATCCTAGTGTCATTCTTGTGGAATGATAGAAGTCATTTAGGATGGAATTCTGTAAGATTTTTCTTGGTATTATTGGATTTGTTGTTTTGCTTTTAACAGATACTGGGTGCGTATTACATATGGAATCTGATACCCCAGGAAAGATTTCCAAGGAATAATGGTCTCAACACGGTTTTTTTTTTCCTTTTTGGAAAAAGAAAAAGGAAAGGATAAAAGGTTAGGAAAGAAGTGCGTGATTCACATTATATCCTCCCACCAACAATTGGAGTGGAGCCTGTCAGTTCTTCAGGTCGTTCTTTGGACGATGCTTGCATGCTTCACTCTCTAATAGGGTAACTAGTATCATTAGTGCAGCACCTAATCTGATAATGAAAGAACCATTGAGTGTAACTCCGTCTCAAAATCTTTTTTTTTATATATACTTTGGGGACAAGCAAAAGAAAGACGGTGACATTTTTATTATTTATCTTGCACCAATCAGGCAATCAAGACGTGACGTTGTTTTATGTTATCAATTTATTGATTAAAAAAACTTATAATCCAAGCTTACCTGGGAAAAGAACGGTAGGAATTTGCTAAAAAGCCAGCTAAATTCTGTGTTTTTGCTTCTCTTACATAAGCAATGAGTGCACTGACATGGTCACTAACCCAGAACTTCGTCTCGGGCCCTCAACCCTGTGCGTCCTCAGTTCCAGCCTTCCAGGTCACCTCAGATTAAACTCTAGTGCAATTTTGACGACAAAGAGCATAAAATCTCACCCAAATCTACTTCCCCGGGAGAGCTATAGAGTCCTGTCACTTTTCAAGAACTTTTTATGTACTGGACTGTTCAAAATTCGAACACACATCATAATTGCAAAAATATCTATCTAATTAGTTCCATCAATGTAGCGTAATCAACTAATTTGTGACTTTTACCAACAAAGTATTGCCTCGTAGTAAACAAATTAGTTTCATACCAATTTTTTTTATCAATATATATAGAGTTTAAAATCCTAGTTGATAGAAAAAATTAAATTTTATTATTTTTAATCTAAATATGATTAATCATATTTTTAATATTAAAAAAAATATATTGAAAAAAATTTGTGGCTTATGGTTTTTTTTTCTTCTACTGGCATACTTAAAGTTTCTAATTAAATTAATCTGTTACTGTTAGAAGATATCTAGAAAAAACTAATGCAATATTTACGTAACGAAAAATATATAAAATATGAGAAATTTTATAATACTTAAAAAATAATTAATAAACATGTACAATAATTATTTCAAGAGCTTAATTTTTAAAAAAGAGATAGACACATTAAAAAATAAATTTACATTCGGATTCATAAAAAATAATAAGAAAATTTTCACATTTGATTAATTTTTTTTAATTTTTTTATTTCTTTCTCATATATATATATATATATATATATATATATATATATATATATATGTTTTTTCAAGTAATTTATACTAATTATTTCTTAAATATTATAAAATTTTTATCCTTGATAATGCACATTTCCATTAGTAACCAAATGCATTGCCCCATGGTTTTTTTTTTTTTTTAATCTTTCGGTTTTTCCGTAAGAATGCATTACCCCGGTTAGTCCTGTTTTCTCAATTCTACTCATTTTTCTTCAACCATCTTAATCTGCTCCTCGAATCAAGGACAATTCTGACAAACATTACTAATGTATTATTGGATTCAAAGTCACCCAGGCCAGACATGCATCAGAGAATGTATGTATATCCCACGTGGCAGATTATTTTTCTTTCTGTTTTTTCTTTCTTCTTTTGTACTATATGTGGCCTCGAATGCCTAACTTCATTGCCAAGGGTTGTTTTATCGAGGCTCCAATTTTAAAAGAGGTTAAAAATTTAATGTTTCAATTTTCATGGAAATGACTTGAGATTCGACGAACAAAAACTTCTTCTTTATATTAAAAATGGGCATGAGTATACTTTTAGGTAACTTATTTAATTTATTTTCATATAATATTTTGAATTTTTATCTATTTTTAAAATTTTAAAGGTTTTATGTATATCGAGACGTTATCTAATTTAATTTTTTTTATTAAAGTTTTACAGTTTTATTTTTTTATGTCTAATTTAATATTTATATTCTTATATTGTTGTTTTAAATCTTAATGTAGTATACATAATAAGTTCTAGTAACTAATAAATTATCACTTATCATGTTAATCTAAATTACCGAATTAGGTTTTAACGAAAATAAAAAAATTTCTTATGAATTTTAAATAACTAAACAAATAATAAATCTAAAAATAAGTTAGGAAAATACGAGTTCAATCATTATCCCTAAGTTAGGAAAATACAGTTCAACCATTATCCCTAAAACTAAAAATCTCTTTCTTTCTCTTATTCATCTCGGCTTTTTTTCCTCTTCCTTCCTTCCTTCCCATTGCAAAATCCCAAAAAATTTCCAAGTAACGTTCCATTAGGGGAATGAATGAGCAAGGTTGCGAGCCATCTTATCCGCAAGAAATTTCAAATGAAAGCGTATGAAGAAACCGGTGGAGAGTACAAGACATCGGATAATGCGAGTCCTCATACACCAAAACAAGTTCGTAACGACTTTATTGATCTAATTAAGGTTAAGGTACATGTCAATCAAATGTTATCTCATGTACAATATTTAGCTCTTAATCCGACATATTTGAAGGAAGGCGACTCTCTTGATATGGTTGAAAAATTTGTTCTTGCAGTTAGAAATTTAATCTATAACAATGGATCCAACTACAAAATGTATAACCAACGTTAATCAAGAAGAACAAAGAGAAAGTCCTAAGAATCCGAACCCGGGATGTCATGGGTGGAGCAAAATCTAGCTAACCAAAGTTCTACTCGGTTATCGATCGTGGTTAAAAAAACCCAAAAAAATGAAGAATCCGATGAAAATTGCGGAGAAATAAAAATACAAAGGAAGAAAATGACCGCAAATTCAGCATTCTTTTCATTAATGTAATTGAGCCTTTAAATAGACAATAAGCATAACAAATTAACATGAAAATAGGGCCCAATAAACCATGATTAACACTCCTAAACTCTTCCACTAGAATAGGTAAAATATGCCCACTAATAATCGTAATAGAAACTAACTCCTAAAGACTAGTTTAAAATTAGAACCTTATTGACTACATAGCTCATGTCTAACAATCCCTCCCTTAAACCGAACGTTGCAAGTTTCGGTTTAAAGTGCAAATGCCTAGCAGTCTTCTAAGCTTCTCAAATGTCTCCCTTTTGAGTGCCTTGGTGAAAATGTCGCCTACTTGGTCTTCACTTTTGCAATAAACAAGCTCGGCTTGTTCCATCATTGCAAAGATTTCTCAAGAAATGGTACTTCACATCAATATGCTTGCTCCTTCCATGCAAAACTGGATTCCTTAAAAGTTTGATTGCTGAATTATTGTCACAAAAAACAATAGTTGCTCCCATTTTTCTGAACTTCGGTTCCTCTAGAATTCTTCTTAACCAAATAGCTTGACAAGCACACATTGTTGCACTAACAAATTCAGCTTCAGTGGTTGATAGAGTAACAATTAGTTGCTTCTTGGAAAGCCAAGAAACAATTCGTCGTGCTCATCGGAAAGACATAACTCGAGGTGTTTTTTCTATCATCATGATCACCTACAAAATCACCGTCAGTAAAGCTAAATAATTTTTTTTTTTATAGAGCAAACCAAAGTCTTTAGTTCATCGGAGGTAGCGAAAGATTCTCTTTACAGACAAGCAAGTGAATTCCTTTTGGTTTCTTCATGTATCCGTCGATCAGTGCTAACAACATGCATTATATCCGGTCCGGTTGCTATCAAGTACATCAAACTCCCTATAATTTATTTGTAGAGAGTCCCATTCACCTTCTCTCCTTCGAGTTCTTTCACAAGCTTCAATCCCACTTCAATTGGTGTGCTAATAGGGTTGCAATCCTTCATTTGAAACCCGTTTAACATTTCTTGCACATACTTCTTTTGTGAAATAAAAATTCCAGCGACTCGATTGCACTACTTCAATGCCAAGAAAGTAATGCATCATCCCAAGATCGGACATATCAAACTCTTCCATCATGGACATTTTAAATTTCTCAAACATGGCATTATCATTCCCAATAAAGATCAAATCATCAACATATAAGCATACTATCAGCATTTTACCACCACCGTTACATTTAACAAAAAGATTATGTTTATAAGGAGACTTCTTAAAACCCTCCCTAGCAAAGTATGGATTAATACGACTATACCAAGCTCTTAGAGCTTGCTTCAATCCATATAGTGCATTTTTCAACTTATACACCTTATGTTCTTCACCAATTTTAACATAGCCATGAGGTTGATCAATAAATACCTTTTCATCAAGTTCTCCATGCAATAAGGCTGATTTCACATCCAATTGGAAGATAGGCCATGAGTTTTGAGTCGTAAGTGCAATCACAAGTAGAATTGTGTCCAGCCTTACAACCGGCTGCAAACACTTCACTATAGTCCACTCTAAACTTTTGCTTATATCCCTTTGCCACTAGCCTTGCCTTGTACTTATCTATGTCTCCATTCTCCTTCAGCTTTGTCTTGTACACTCATTTGACTCCAATGGTTTTGTGTCCCTTTGGAAGCTCCATTAGCTCCCAAGTGTTGTTTCTTTCAATGGTCGTAATCTCTTCATCCATTGATTTCCTCCACTTTGCTTCTTTGACGCCTTCTTCAAAGGTAGTGGGATCACGATCCGAAAATAGAACAAAATGAGTGAGTGGATCCCTCGT